GTATGAGTAACTCAGAAATAATGTTAATCCCCATAAGTAGTGGCTCTAACTAAGATCATCATATTTTAAAGTAAGAATGGTAAAACAGTGAAAAATGACACACATGTAATTTGCTCATCCCTTCAAGATAAGATGAATCTTTCTACCAGATGGATATTCAAGTCTTTTCTGTTCAGAGTCAGGTCTTTGAACTAAAAAAAAGAATTTGAAAACATAAGTGCCAAAATATTTCCTTATCTTGATATAAGTGAAGGTATTCAAGGCTATTTTATAGAGGTCCCAAAACGAATGATTGAAAACTAGCTTGGAAAATTCTGTTTTAAATGTTAGTTAAAAGAGATAAATGTTGTCTTTCTTCATTGTCTGATATTTTTAAAGCAAACTTTCAAAAATGAAATGAAGTGAATTGAGAAATGTCTGTGCAAAAGTCATTTTGAGCAATCATAAGACCTAAGGTGGACTCAGTAAACTTAGTTTTCTAAATCTAATCGGAAAAATAAACTGAATAACCAAAATTAAAGCCAAATAGGATACGTCAGTTATCCAGGTCATCAAAAAGATTTTGGTAAGAATTGCCTAACTAGCTGACATTCAAAGATCATATGAAAATAAAACATGACAGAAAAAACATGCTCACCTTATTACGGCTAATCGCCGCCTTGCAGACAGGACAGATGGCTCTGGCCTGTGTGGTGGTTTCCAACCACTGGTGTAGACATGGCCAGCAAAATAGGTGGCCACAAAGACTGACTACTGCATCCTTTGCCGGATCCAGGCAGATGTTGCACTCAAAGCTGCCCGTAGTATTGGTTGCATTATTTCCTTGATTATTTCCACTTCTACCAGCCCCGTCGTCAGCACCATTAGCGCTAGAACTAGGCGCGGTGCCAGCAGATCCAGAACCACTCTCGTCTTCATTTGGGGTCAATTCATTGTTTATGGAGTTGCTTTTAGTAACATCTCCAGTAGAATTGGATGCCCCTGGTGAATTCTTACTGCCAATACATGATATCAGGTTAGATGACACCGTTTCCCCGATAGGCGAAGGGGCCATGCCGAGAGGAAGGAGAGGTGGTTGGGAGATAGTAGCATCTGCAGAGGTAGTGACAGAGAGAGAAGAGGATGTGTGGGAGGATTGTGAAACGGAAACAGATGAGTAGGGCGGCGGAGGAATAGACATATTTTCTTTGGTATGTGGTGTTAGGATTGAAGGAATTTCAGAGAGAGTTGAAAGGTCACGATCTCCCGTGAAGGAACGATGTCGTACTGCGGCATCAAAAGGGTCGTCAGGATTGATGTTCATGTTTGGCCAGGCTAAAGATGCCGTCGTTTGGCTGATGGTAGAGTAGGTGGTAGATGGTGAGAGAAAGAGGATGAATCAAAGATAAATAAGGAGTTCTGGGGGGAGTAAACCAAAAGAGGATGGATGCGAAGAATAAAGAATTAATATTGCTTGAGATACGCGTGGCAGGCAAGATGTGATCGCCAAATATCTGCCTTCCGACAGAGTAATCCGTCAAAATAAGAAGCGGAGACAAAGCCTAGAACTCCAAGAGTTGTGAATCGAGCGAACACGATTAATTCGATCCAATGAAGAATAAAAATAAAAGTATTCTTCAGTCTGTAATTGAGGGTTTTAAAATAATAATTGTGGATAACGGTGAATAGTAAGCCTAGAAGAGAATAGCAGGAAGGTAAATGATCGAATACTAGAATCCGTTCATAGGAAAAATTGCAAGTTGACAGACTAATAGATTTAAACCATCTTTTATCTACTTAGATAAGTATATCATCTCGAATAAGGACTGTACGAACAATTATTTCATATTTTAGTTGAACAGGATAAACTAAATCAACAGAGGAAAAGAAATTACTGATCGCGGCTAATGAGATGCACAATCTTTAGTTGAATGTAAAAGGCAGTGATAGGAAAATGAAATAATGCAAAAATCAGGAATCCTTCAATGCAGCGTAGCTTAAATTGCTATTGTTCTTTGTAACACAATAGCACTTAGGTGCCTTAACAAGAAGCATATATTATTTGTAATGTTAAAGCAAAATATAAAAAGCGAGACAGTAAAGTAATGTTTTCCCATACCAGAGTAAATCTTTAAATCACTTAAAAGAGTTTGTAAAACGTTGCCTGGATTATTTCACACAAGATCCTGAAATATCTCAAAAAGGTAACCAGTGAAATTATCTCATAATCCTCCAAGTTATTTCTTAAGAGAATCGTCTTGAATATTAACTTTGGAAAAACCCAGCGAAAATGGATAAATAATAGCCTTCAATTGTAATAAACACATTCTATTTATAAAGTAGTTGAGAAAAAACAAGTCATAGATA